GCGTACGTGGGACTCCCTCGTTTACGAAGATCCACGGCCAGAAATGAAGAATCAGCGCAGCGTAAGTGGGACTTGGTCCCAATCAGCGTATTAAGTGGGACTTGGTCCCAATCAGCGGATTAAGTGGGACTTGGTCCCAATCAGCGGATTAAGTGGGACTTGGTCCCAATCAGCGTATTGAGGAAATGTGCGGAAATGGCCTCGGGTATCCTTAACTGCACATCTCCACAAACACGTCCAGATTCAGGCGTCGAGGAAACTCAACGCTGCTAGTGGGACTTGGCCCCGGGATATAGCTTGATTATACCGCGGATGAGTCGAGTCGATTGGTGGGCAGCTGCACCTTCTGGGAACGGGGGCCCAGGGTCCCGGAAGTACAAAATTGGATTTGAATGAGGACCCCTCACTGGGAGCATTAGCCAGCTTCGGTTGAACCTGCCTGAAGCCTACTAAACTACTCTGCAATACCTCTCAGCCATTGGTAAGAGATCCTTGTTCCAAAAAAAAAAAAAAAAAAAAAAAAAAAAGATCTTTTTCTTTTTTCCAAAAGGCTGACCGCCGCTGACGGCCTTGGAGTGAGTGAATTCGGAATGATTTGATTTCATTTATCTCGCTCCATCTGGGGCGTGGTCCCACTAGCAAGGAGGATCAGATCGAATGCCTGAATCTGGACGAAGTTATGCAGAGGTGCAGGAAATCGAGATTGACTACTTTTTTTTTCTGCATCTCTGCATAAAACACATCCAGATTCAGGAGGTCGATCCTATCCTCTTTGTTAGTGGGACCTCAGGGGCCAAGTCCCACTTAGGCCAAGTCTTCATTTCTGAACGTTGATCATCGGAATCTACGATCAGAAATTGAGGATTCGGTTAAGTGGGACTTGCCCCCAGGTCTGCTTCTTTTTTTATTTTTTTTATTTTTTATTTTTTTCCTTCTTTTTCACCGAACAAAATAGATATCATATAACCGGGAAACGGGCCCGGCGTCCCTTACATCATATAACGAGGGGCAATATATGCGAGGGGCAAGATAGCGAGGGGCAATATAGCGAGGGGCAATATAACAAGGGGCAAGATTTAAAAAAAAAAACAAAAACGAGGGGCAAGATTGTGTAGTTTGCTCCCAAAATCTTTTCCATCCGTTGGGGGTATGGCCAATCCCAAAAGAGGGTTGGATCGGCCATAGGCCCACTGGATATATTTTTTTTTGTTTTTTTTGCCTTTTTTTGCTTGCCGTTGTGGAATTGTCTCCTTGGGTTGAGCCCTGTTTTCAGTAACGGAGTATATAAATGGAGGGCGTCATGAGCACTGCTGGGCCGAGGTCCCATGAGCAAAGAGGATCGGGTCGAATGCCTGAATGTGGACGTGTTTTATGCAGATATGCAGAAAAGCAGTTCAATCTCGATTTCCTGCACCTCTCGGCAAACACGTCCAGATTCAGGCATTCGATCCGATCCTCTTTTTGCTAGTGGGACCACGCCCCTGGTATGTGGTAGCTTGTTCACCGGGTGGAGGTTTTTTTTTTTTTTTTTTGTTATTGCAGCGAGTCGTGCCCGTGAACGCGCCAGGATTTTAGGAAACGTACGGGCTACTACAGGAGCGGCCAACTTTATCCGGCGACTAGAAACGTTTCTACTCCTTTTTTTCTTTTTTTTTCTTCAACTTCCAGTGCAATCAAATAGTCCGATTAAAGGTAGGGGGGAGGTACCGGTTCACGGCGCAAAATAGCGCTCGGTTCCGTTACTACCGGTTTCGGCCGTCTAGCCGCCAGAGAACAGCCGACGATGTTGTCTCCCTGGTTATGCAAACCTCGAAGTTCTAGCTATGTCTATTCTTCCTAGGGTGCATAGGTTAGCCCCAAGGGAAGAAGACTCAGTATCTGGTTGGTAAGTCTGGTTATTGCCAGACGTTCTCCACAGCCAAGAAACAAGGTGTGTAAACTTTTTTCACGAAGGAGTACGAAGTTAAGTCAACATCAAGGAATCGTGTTAGGGCATGGATATTGACGAAGCTGGAGCGTTGAAGGCATGGATATTGACGAAGCTGGAGCGTTGAATGGGAACTCCAATGGTGACATGGCTCAAACTCATAATGGTGACGTGGGGATGGTGGGAGCCGAGCCGGGTGTTACAACGCCGGGGCAACCGCATCCGCGGATGGAACCCGAGGAAGAAGACGGCAAAGGGAATAGATCTCCACCTCAAGCCGCTACGAATTACTGGATTGAAGAGGAGCGAGTTCGCGAAATGCTGGCGAAATGCTACGATGCAGGGATTCTGCTGACTGGATGGGATATAGGAGAATTGAGCAAGGAAGGCTCAAAGGCTTGCTTTGTGCTAAACCGTTCCTTGGACGAAATCAAGGTTAGATGGCTGAAAGAGTGCACAGTAACAGTCATCTTCTTGGAGGGCTCTAAGAACCTGCCAAAGAAGATGAAAGAGGATGTTATAAGAGCCTTTGAAGACATTTGGCTGGCAGAGCAGCGCTTTGATTCCTCCATAACTCGGGGAAGGGTTTGCAACGTGCTGTCATATGTGGCGAAGGACAAGAGGGTGGCGGAATGGATGCTAGAAGAGGAGTTCAGCGTGGCGTTGAAAAGACGGTGGTACAACATAGCTTTCAAGCCGTGGCTGACCAAGGTGGAAATCGAGGAGGCAAAGAAGGAAGTTGATAGGACCTATTTTTGGATCCGGTTCATTGACGTTCCTATTGACGCCTTTTGCTATTTGGAATCAGCAGCTGAAGCGTCTATTGGACCAGTAATCAAAGTCTATCCACCAGAGTCAAATGCGCGTACCCCTAGACTAATTAATGTCAGAATGGACATAGCGATTGAGAGCATAGCAAGATTGAAGGAGATGCTGGAGTTTACGACGTTTCAGGGTCAAGTGATAAAGCTGCAGGTGGCAAATGCGTCAACGCAGTGGTGCAGTAATTGCCGAAGATATTTCCATCTAGCTGACCAGTGCCCGCGAGCAAGACGAAGGAGATCAGGCAGTCCAGCGGTCGTCCTACCAGCAGAGTGCCCTCCCGCGCGAACTCCAGCAACGGAAGATCTCAATCTCACTCCAAATCTCAGTCTCCACATACACGTGACAGATCGGGCGCGTCATCCGGCAATGAGGGAGGCAGGACGTCTGCAGCGGATTCACAGGCTAGAAGGAGGAACCATCCCACGTACAAAGGAAAGATCGGCCCAAGGGGCTCGAGTCCTGCCCAGGATGGAGAGGGTACGTCAAGGCAGGCTCAGGAACCGTCTGAAACGAGGAGCAACTTCTGGAACCCAGTCTTTTCTCCGGGTTTGGAGACGAGGACAAAGCCCGTAGGTGGTCAGAATGATACGGTCCTGCGTGGGAATCTGGGTGTCTTAGGAGGGACATCGTCACCCTGTCGGAATACCGGAGGAGCAGATGACTTGAGCAATTCAAGAATGTGGACAGATAGAAGCGGGAACATCGAACCGGGTCCTTCTGCCAACGGAGACTCAACGACAAGGCGAGTAATCACACCATCTAAGCAGAGGAGATTGAGCTTGGACACGGACGATTCATGTTTACACGTAGGGGGCTTGCGCGTAGAACCGTCGAGTTCGTCAGCAGGCACCGATAACGGAGCGACAGTTGACGCAGGTACAGACACTGCGGCGAGGTTGTTGACTTCCCTCAAGCGCAACAAAAGACAAGCGACGGGGCTGGACAAGGAATGGGTAAACCATCTCCTCCCTCTCCTGTTTACGGCAACGCAGGAAGGGACGTTTGTCTTAGCTTGGGCGGTTTCTCCTCAAGAATCGGTGCTCCCTTCTCATCCAATTTCAGGCCCGCCAATGCCTAGAGATATGGTGAGATAGCGGTAAGGCTGATTCCCGACATCCCCACTCCGAGGTTTTTTATTGATAAAATCGCTAAGAACACCAAGTTGTTCACCCCTCTCTTTGACGCACGTATGTCTCAAGAGGCGCTGATAGGGTTGGTCGATAGGGGCTTACGCTTGTTTCCGGTGGATTGGTTGGCCAAACCGGACCACCCGGAGCTGAATCGTATAAGTTTATTGGGGGACGCTAGAGCCTCAGAACTTGGGAAGTTAAACACAAAGATTCCAAAGTTGCGTTCGTTGACCTCTTTGTTTTTCAAGTCTTACCTGACGGCAAAATGGGATACGGGTTTACCTTCAACAGAAGGAGATCCGTTACAAAACGGTTCATCGATTGCTGCGCTCCCCTCGCTCCGCATCCAATCAAAGCCGGCTCCAACCGGACTTCATGCGTCCCAGTAAGATTGCCACGTGGAATGTGCGAGGGCTAGGGGATACGAAGAATAGGTTTAAACGTCAGAGATTGAAATCATGGATTCATAATAATAACGTTCAGATTTGTTGTGTTCAAGAGACAAAATTAGATGAACGAAAGATAGCGGATCTGGGTGCGTGGTGGGATGGACCCCAAGTTTGGGCACCAGCGGTGGATTCGAGGGGTGGAGTCGCTATCCTTGTTCATAGAAGTTTGGACGTCAATATAATTGACCATGATTTTGATCACAACGGTAGGTGGGCGTGGATAGCCTTCGAAACAGGCGGTGTTGCATGGTCAGTAGTCTCTATTTATGCTCCAACAGAGAAAGTCGAAAGGATAATATTTCTGGAGGCCCTGTTAGATGTCCTGCCCGCAGTGGATAATATTATATTAGCAGGAGATTGGAATCTGGCTCTGGATGATGTCAATCCGTGGTTCAGTCTGGAGACCAATTTCGAGGTTGAATGTGTCGTATAAGATCCTTGCTAAGGTATTAGCTTGTAGATTAGCAAGGTATCTACCTGAGTTGGTAGGCAATGATCAGGCAGCCTTTGTACAAGGAAGGTCAATTTTTGATAATATTGTAACTGCAATAGAAGCTTTGGAAATCATTGAAAAGGAACAGTGTCCACAGGCTGTCCTTTTGTTGGACCTTGAAAAGGCCTATGATCGGGTCAATTGGGGATTTGTGTAGAGTACCCTCAGGAAGATGGGGTTCGGTGAAAGTTTTTGTAAATGGATAGTGGCGTTGTATACCCATTCAACCGCTGTAGTCATGGTCAACGGGTTTTTGTCTGAGCAGTTCTCGCTAACTCGCTCACTACGGCAGGGCTGCCCTTTGGCTCCGTTGGTTTTCGTATTGCAACTAGAAGTCCTTACGTGTAATATCAGGAAACGTCCTGAGATTCAGGGACTAGCGCTGGGAGGAGGGGAGTGTAAAGGAAAGGCTTTAGCGGACGATTTAGCTGCATTGGACGCATTCAAGTCTTTACTGGATGAGTACTCTCTTCTGTCTGAGGCCACTGTAAACTGGCACAAGTCAGTTTACTTTCTTCCACAACCCATGACGTTAGTCACGGACTGGGGGATGAAGCGTATCGAAAAAGGTGAAGCGGAACGATTTCTAGGTGTAATGATAGCAATGGAGTCCTGTCAAAATGAACAGGAGGAAATTCTTCAGAACAAGGTCGTATCTAGAGTGAAGTCTTGGGGAGGAGCTGCTCATCTGTCCCTTTTTGGTCGAGCCCAGGTAATAAACACCTCATTATTCTCTTTACTTTGGTATGTTGGGAAAGTACGCCTTCTGGGTCCATCCCTTATGTCATTTATCCGCAGGTTCACAGCTCGTTTTCTGTGGAAACCCAAAGCAGAAGAGGGGGAGGGTTTTATTTCAAAGGTCGCATGGGACCAGATTACTCAGCCAAGAGAAGAAGGGGGGCTGAGCATCACTGACCCTCATAAGCAGAACTGCGTTTTATTATCTCAATGGCTTACTCGTATTTCCAACGCTACGGGCTCAGAACATTGGCTTCTTATGGGTGAAGGCATTTTGGCACAGGAATGGGGATTGGCGAGGAAGGAAGATCCCATCCCAAGCGAATGGAAGGCCCTCTTGGCTCCTGAAGGACTGGATCCTCCAGGTACATGGTACGTAGGTCCTCTTCCAAATGGTACTCAATCTTTCTGGAAACTACTACATTACACGCAGGACGGTATCAGAGTATTTGAGAACTGGGTCCAGAACCCGTCTGCTGGGGAGCTCAGTCACATAAGCCAGGACAACTGTCAACCTCCACCGGGAGCAGTCCTGGATCAAGTCAGAATGGAGGAGATTTGGGATGAGGAGGAGCATCATGTTGTGAAGAGGATCTCCAATCAGACGTTAAGGTCCTGTAAACTGGATCCAGGAGGTTGGGGATGGAGGGGTAGAGGAAGAAAGGGTGAAACTCTGCTCTTGTATCAGGGCCTTCAAAGTGCCTCAGTTATACCACATCAGAAACTTCCGATAGCGGTGGCTACTGAACGATGGGCCACCAGGCCAATAATTCTTCCAAGTACCTTTAATGTAGGCGTTCGGAAACTCTGGTCTCAGCTTAAACTACTTCCTTCACAGAAACTTGCGGCAATTCTGTGGCAATTATCACTCTTAGTCACCCCCTCGGCCGTTTGGTTGGCAAGTAAAGGGATGGAAATCAGAATTTCATGCACTCGATGTACCTGGGCTTTTGAATCGGCCTGTCATCTCTGGTGGGATTGTCCTGCTTCTAAAAGAATTTGGGATTGGTGGGCCGCTCGTTGGTACGATTTTGCGGAATGGGAATGGGCTTGGGACAGGGATTGGGTACTTCTTGGCATCCTACCTGAAGGCATGTCGAACGCTGACAGTTGTGGTTATGTAGTGCAAGCATGCAGGGCGTTAATCTTTTCAGTCATCTGGGACTGTAGGAACAGAGCGTGCTTTCAGGGCAAGGGTACTGCAGATACTGAAATCAAAGCAATGATTCGTTCAAGACTGAGACATTATATTTTGGCAGATTGGAACAGGAAAAGGTGTGAAGGAAACAGGTTCAGCAGTAACTCTCGCTGGTTTCTGAGAACTTGGGGTGCGGGGAAAGTTAATAATTGGCTAGTTAATGTAGATGCAGAAGGAAAATTAGAATTTTGCTCTTGGTTGGTCAAAGGGGAGTAGGCTCCAACCTCAGTACTCGGTTATTTACTGTCGCAGGAGGCAGGCAGTAATGGGGGAA